CTAATTACTACCCAAGACAGCAGTACAATTCCATGCAATGCACCTCATACGTATCACGAGTCTCTAAGTAAAGGAATGGAGGTAGAAGATGCAGTAGAGCTGTTGAAAGCAGTGTCGCAAATTTCTGATGAACCCGAACAAGTAGAGAATGTTGCCAAAGTCCTTGAGTATCAGCCACTTGCCTTAGCAGCAGCAGCCTTTTATGTTCAAACGGTTGTAATGAACGGATCTCCAGACTACAGTTGGGCACGTTACAAGGAAGTATTAAGCAAGGGTCAGCGAGAAGCGACTGAGGAACTCCTTGCCAGTGAGAGCTCAGCTTATCCCAAAACAATGACGACAGCAATCCAAATTGCTCTAAAAAGAGCTGTCCAAAGCGATGAAGTTCTCTGTCAGGCGTTTTCTTTCCTTTCACTCTGTTCTTCAGAATTGCTGCCAGTTGAAGCTGTTGTAAACTTTGTCAAAGCACGCATTCAGTCAGGGCTACCACAGGAGCTAATAAAAGCTAAGATTTTGAAATCTTGCCTAGTCCTTTCCTCGCCAGCAGATCAGCAGGGGCCCGAATGTCTGCGTTTGCATAACACCGTCCATGAAGTCCTCAAACAAGGGACAATTAGGAAACTGGAGCCAGCAGATAGAAATCAGAATCTGGTAACGGCCATAAAGATATTGACACCCCTGCTTACATTAGAAGAAAAACAATTCAAAACAACAAGGTACTACGGCTGTCTAATGTTGAATAAAATGACGTCTCACTGCAAAGCACTGCTTGAGAGCGCCATACGTGATTTCACATGTCCAGAAAGCGATTTGATGAAGGAATTGACTTCAATTATTGCTCTTGAAGAAGTTGTTGAATGGCTATGTTCCACTGCACGCAATTGTAATCGACTTGATGATTTAGCATCTGCAAACAGGATTTCTGAATTAGCCTGTAACCTGCTGAAGAACGTGAGCAATGCCTTGGAAGACACCTGGTTAACGAAAATGGCATTCGTAACACGCGGAGATGTTTACTTTAGCGTTGGTAAACATCAGCAAGCCAAGGAGCAGTATGAAAAGGTTTTGACGATCTGTTTAACGACTTCTGGTAAATCGCATCCCAGTACAGCAATCATTTATAAACAGTTGGGATCAGTGTACCACCAAACTGGACAATACAATCAAGCCAAAGATTGCTTTGAAAAGGCTTTGGATATCCACACTTCGATTAACGGTCAAGAGAACAGCACGGTAGCAAGCCTTTATTACGACCTGGGTGGTGTTTATTACACTATTGGAAAATATAAAGAAGCCAAAAGACTCGTTGAGAATGCACTGGCGATTAACAAAAAGATTCACGGTGAAGAGCATGCTTATGTGGCAGATAGTTATAGCAGATTGGGTGCTGTGTACCACAGCATGGGAGAATTCAAGAAAGCTAAAGAACTCCATGATATGGCAATAATGATTCGGAAAAAGGTCTACGGCGAAGTGCACACTGCTATAGCAGAAAGTTATAGCCACTTAGGAGCTGTTTCCAGCAGCATTGGAGAATTTAACACAAGCAAAGACCTTTACGAGAAGGCACTGGTGATTCGGAGAAATGTATACGGTGAAGAGCACGGGGCAGTCGGAGCAAATTATAACAACTTGGGACATGTGTACCTTAACAATGGAGAACTCAAACAAGCCAAGGAACGTTTTGAGAAGGCACTGACGATCATGAAAAAGATATTTGGCGAGGATCATCCTGATGTAGCAGCTGGTTACTTGAATTTGGGAATTGTTTACCGCTGTATGAAACAGTACAATCTAGCCAAAGAACACCTAGAAAAGGCGCTGATGATCCAGAAAAGGACTGAATTAGGTGAAAAGAATGAACTAACATCAGAAATGTATCGCAACTTGGCGACTGTGTACGGTAGTACTGGAGAAGTACATAAAGCCAAAGAATTTGACGAGAAGGCAATGGACATTGCAAAACAAACTTGTGGGCAAAAGCATCGACTTGCAATTCATCACGATTTACAACGGCTGCATCTACCAAAAGACTGAAGAAAACGACTAAGCCAACGAATGCTAAGAAAAGGAACTGAGATTCAGTTATTGAGGGCTCACAGTGAAAAGCATGTCACTGTAACAAGAAGTTGTAACATCTTGGAAAGTGTACACCACTCCGACACCAGTATTGGAGATTGCGTGCCCGAATACGTGTGGGCTGGCCAGTTTATGCTTAGTCTGTTCATGGCTTCCTGGATCTCTACACAGCGTTTTGCTCTCCATTCCAATTCATTTAAGACGTGAGCAAATATAGAGACCAAAATAAAATAAACTTCTTTGAAAAACAATTAAAAGCAAGCAATCGCTTAAGCTCATTCCCCAGTATTGCATTGCGCATCCCTACTGCGCATAATTTCACGCGTGATTAGCGCGCG